TGGCCAGGAAGAGGAGGGCGCTGACTTCTACCGGCAGTGCAGAGCCGGAGGGGGAGGGGTGATTAAAAAATAAACGAAACTCATTAAGAATATTTAAAGGGGAGAGTAATAGGTTCAAGCACATGATACGCGTGCATGGGAGTTCACGTTTGTGCTGAGGACTCGCCAGCTACTCAGGAGACTGAGATCAGAGGGTGCCGGTTCAAAGCCAGCCCAGGCAGAAAAATCTGTGAGGTTCTTATCCCCAATTAACCAGCAAAAAGACAAAAGTAGAGCTGTGGCTCAAGTGGTAACAAGCCAGCCTGGAGTAAAAAAAAAAAAAAATGCTAATTTAGAGTGTGAGGCCCTGGGTTCAAACACCACAACTGACATCAAAAAAGAAGGGAGAGGAAGAAGGAATAATACAGTGTTCAAACAGGTATCTCCTGGTCTCCCAGAGAAGGGGCTGGCCGGCCCTGCCGGAGTGCATTCCCAGCAACAGCCAGAGACACGGGCCTCCCCCAGGACTCCACACAGCGGCTGGGCGTCTGGGTCCTGCAGGGTCACCAAAACCATGAGCAGAAAAGAAAGAAACATGCCTGAGGTGACTTTGAGACCAGAAAGCCGTTCAGCTTCAGGGAACACCATAGAGAAAGCAAAAAGGCACCTACAAAGCGGGAGAGGAGCTGTGCCAATCCTCAGTCTGATGGGAGTCACGCCCAGCGTAGGTAAAGAAGCCTGCCGCTGCGGAGAAGAGCATGCGGACGCCCGGGCACAAGACTCCTCGGGGACCCCAGCACGGGCCTCGCCGCGGGGAGAGGAAGGGCGGAGAGCAGGCGGGGGCTCTGGCGTCCTCTAGCTGGATAGCACTGTTGGTAAAGGCAGGCCCGTGATCCGAGGGCCGGGTTGCCAGGCCCGGGCATGAGGATTCTCACTAAACCCTTAGCAAGATTCTTGTCCATCCTGGATTTCTCAAACACTGCTGGACACCAGAGGTCGGCCTGCCAGGCCAAGGAGTCAGACACCTGACTGAGATGTGGTCCAGAGGCTGTCAGGACCGGTCATTACCCCTGGAGCTGAGGCCCTGGCCAGGAAGAAGATGCAGACAGGAGGACTATGGTATCCCACGCTAGCCTGGGTAAGAGGTCCCAGAATCAGAAAGTAAAGCAGAAAGGCCTGAGGACAGGGTTTGGGAAGTAGAGTGCCTGCCTAGCAGCCATAAGTCCAGACCTCAAACGCCAGCCCTGCCAGGAAAAGACAGAGGCGGAGGACTGCAGGAGCGCTGGCACTGGAGCACCCGCCAGGAGCAGGCGGGCGGTGGGAGCACTGCAGAGCCAGGCGGCACGGGGCGGGAAGGAGCTGGCCAAGGACAGCGACACAGAAGGACCTCCATGCTTTGCTCATTATCTGGGGGACCAAGGACCAAGTCTCCTGATCAGCGCACCCCCCCACTGCCCCAGGAATCCGCACTGCCAGCCGGTGATGGGAGAGGAGAGGAGAGCGGCTGAGTCAGGCCAGGTGCACTGTGGGGGCCAGCCTCCCGCAGGTCCCTCAGCACCCCTCCCACATGCAGCACACCTGGAACCTTCTGTGGAGAGAGGAGCGTGCACTCAGCCGTGACCACTCAGCTGAGGACTGAGGAGGCAGTGCACACGCACTCTGCTGCAGCCATCTCCACCGCTCACCTCAGCGCTTACGGCGTCCTCTTCTGCTTCTGTGGACAGCTGCAGGCCATCCATGGCCACTAGGGCCTTGCTGTTGTCTGACGCCCCGGAGAGGCCGTGGGCCTGCCCTGCCGAAGTGGGTAGATCTGCAGACAGGGACGAAAGGGAGCAAGGGGAGACGGCTAGAGACTGAAGGCAAGGCAGAGTCTACACGCAGCGTGGGGAAGCGCAGAGGGGAGGCGTCCAGCCAGTGCCGGCCTCCCGTCATCCAGAGGGTTACTCCAACTGCCTTGTGCATGCAACTTTCTCAGGAACCTGAGAAAGGGACAAAGGCCCCTTTTCTTTGAAGTGTAAATGAACTTTTTAAAGGAATGAAGTCATTTGCTGGTGGGGTTTTGGTTACAACCAGAAAACAT